TCTGCCTTGTTCACTGTGTCATCCCTAGAATTTGACATATGAGTATATTTGATTCTCAAATACTTATTGAATGAATGGATGGATGAATTAATTAGCTAGGAAATAATAGAGTGAGGATTCAAACTCATGTTTATCTGACACCAAAGACCAAAGGCTGCGCACTTCCCAATGTGCCAAACAAGCACTTCCTGTATTTCTCAGTCTATTATCCCACAGAACATTGGAAAGATCATGTGTGTGTTAAAAACACAAGCAATTTCAACTTCGGTTCACCAATGACCAAGAAGATCAGATATAGTCAAGGATCAAAATATTCTTTTCCATACAGGTCTCTTCACGTATTCTTTAGTTTTCAAATATTCAGAATACCTAAAAGTAATCAAGCATGATATAGAAGAGAAAAGAAAGACTGAATCTTGTGGAGACAGCTGTGGAACTGACAATTACCAAGTGATTTGCAATCTTAAGAGGTTTGGATCAGGTGGCTTAGAATCAGGTTAAAGATAATCAATTCTCTGGAACAGTCAATGCCATAAATTAACCTTCAGAGGGAGCTTTTTGTATTGCTAGGAGGTTCTCATCTGGTCTTGTTTCTTATCCACATAGAAACCATGACATCAATTAGTATTCCATGGGAAATAAAACTAAATGAGAAAGTGAACCCTTGCTAAATAAATTAGAAGAGTGGATAATTAAAGCAGAGATTCCAAATTGTATTAGAGAAGCAGCTCCATTTTGGTTTTATTTTATTCTTACTTCCCTAAAAAGCATAGCATGGCTGTTTACAAATTACACATGGAAATGAAATATATTTAATTTTGAATTTTTTTGTGCTTTTGAAAATCATAATTTTATAATACCCCTGTATTGAAGTAGGAATAATCTGGGAATGATTAAATTGTCAATCAATGAATGGAGTTCTAAGATGGTAGTTCTCCTGGTATGTAGCCACAAACATGTGGGACATTTGTAGCCTATACCTGCAGTATAATTTGTACTTTAGACTCATTTTTGGTATACATAGGAGTGTCTATAAATACCTCTCATTTCCAGAATAGAAAGCCTGAGGGAGAGATACGGGCTATATATTTGGTAAGAATATTTAAATTGTCTTTTGCACAGAATCAAATATTTGCAATTATGTTTTGCAGACATTAAATAAGGACATACGTTTCTTTTTTCTTCCTTTTTAAGTTTTTATTTTTTTAAAATTTACGATAGTATATCATCTATGGACAGATCATTTAACACAATAAATATTTATATATTCCCAATAAGTTGTCTTTACTTAGGATACAAATGTTGGTCTTTTGCATATTAAATAATTGTAAATCTGCGGAAGGACTTCATCTACAGAAATCCATATTTGTCTTAAAAAGAAAAAGTCATAATGTGATTCATCACTCCCAGATTTATGAGCTTTCAACTTTGAGGGGCCATGGAATATTGAATGGAAAATAATATCTTCATTTCTAACAAGAGCTGGTATTTGTTCAAGATACATTATAATTCACTCTGTTTTGTAGGAGAATTGACATTTCCTTGCTAATTTGTGGTTTTCTATTGGTAATTGGGTCTGTGGCATTATGGTATACATATGCTATTATTAAATTCTATTGAGACAGCTCAGTCTTACATAGGTGATTTATATATTTGTGATATTTGATTTTATACATGATTTAGTTATTAGTCTAATAAAAAATGGCCAATTAATTTTCTTTCTTTTTTTTTTTTTCCTTTTTGTCTTTTTTCGTGACCGGCAACGGGATCGCAACCCTCGGTGTTGCTCCCACACCTCGCTCAGCCAGTGAACAGCCGGTCTGTATGTGGGATCCGAACCCTCGACGGGAGCGCCGCCGCACTCCCAAGCGGCGCACTGTAGCAGTGCGCCACCGGGCCGGCCCTTAATTTTCTTTCTTAAAGCTCTTTACATTAAAATAGTTTGTACTTTTACATTTTGATTGAGGCCATTGAAATAGCCCTTGAAGGGGACCTTCCCTTTTTATATCATTCCTTTTGAAGAACTGAATTTTAATATCCTATCAATACTTGCTTTTTCCTTTTAATCTGTAAAAATACATTTAATTTCAGCAGTAAAATTGACAGCATCCATTTTTATCTTTAATTAACTTTTCAGTTTGGCTTTCATCTTAAAGGCTCACAGCGGAATTTATCACCAAGCCATAATGGAAGTGCTGAATGGAAGATTCAGAGAAGCTGCCTCGCTCTGAATTTAGCTCAGTTGACCCCATTATATAAAAGAAAAGTCAACAACAACATTGATGTAAAAGACGACTCATTAGGCCGCACCACTTGCAGATGACAATGTTTATTTTTGATTCCTGCTATTTATTTGGCTTCCTAATTCCCTTTCCATGCACTCTCTTTTAACTCCAAAGCACCAACTGCCCTTTGCTTGAGGGTTTGGTAAGTGGGAAACACATCAGAGAATGGTTGCCACACAAATAATAACTGCTACCATATATTGAACACTCCGGCACAGTGCTATGCTCTTTACAAACTTTATCTCCTGTGAGGCAGGTTTTATGGCCCCATTTTAAAGATTAGGAATGGGGTTTGAAGAGAGAGATTAAGTTTAGTTTAGCGGATGGTTAAGTCTTTGAAGTCAGGTCACCTGGATTTGAATCCATGCCCACCATTTTCTTTTTGTTTAAATTTATTTTTATGAATTTAAAAATATTTTTTTATTGAATCAAAATTGATTATACGTATTTTGGGGTTCAATGTTGAGATATGTTGATCAAATCAATATTACTAGCATATATATTGTTATAAATCATACTTATTCTTTATGCCCCTTGTCCAATCTCATCCCCCTCTCCCCCCTCTGATTACCCTAGATTTTTTCTCTCCTTCTGAAAGAATAATGGATACTCTGTTGATTTGTTGCGTAGATGATCTGTCCAATGCTGAGAGTTGTGATCAGATCCCCCAATATTATCATAGAGCAGATGCTTCTTCTGTCACTCTGGAATGGACTTTGTGGAGAGAGATATCCTCTTCTTTTCTTTATCTCTGCTGGTGACTCTCTTTGTGCCAATGCACTCCAGTGGCTGGTGGGCCATCTGTGTGGTGGTTGTGGTGTCTAGCTGCTTTTGTGGCAGCCATGATTATTGTGGGGGCTGGCCACCTACATGGAGGTGATGTTTTTGGGCATGCTCCTTGGTGCTGGTGGTGTGCCTAGTTGTGTGTGGGGGGTCTGGTCCCTGGCTCCATGCCTCAGGTCCCCAGGCGCGCCGCAAGGTGCTGGCGGTGTGCCTGGTTGCCTGCTCACCATTTTCTAGTTCACTAGTTCTGAGAACTTGGGCAAACTAGTTAACATTTCATCAACAAACATTTTGAGCATCTACTGTGTACCCAATATATCAGTGAATAAAACAGACACAGCTGCTGCCTGCCTGGAGCTAGTCATCTGTAGGGGGAATCAGACACACTACCGCACTAAAGAGTATGGAATCACAAATTGTAATCACAAATTACAAAGTATGGTGAAGGAAGGCAACGGGGCAGGGATAGCGAGTCACAGGCA